GCATGGGCCATGGGCATGGCTTCACTTTTTGGACTCGAGTATATTGATGCTGTAGAGTATAGTAAAATAATTTTTTTCTCCATTTTGATCATAGGCATACAGTTAGTGGAAGATTAAAGAGAAGACTAGTTACGTCGCTGTTAGGATGAATTCCAAAGAAAATGTCAGTACTTGAATTATTTATAGAAGTTTTCTTTAACGATTTCTAATTACTAAAAGATGGAATTTAATGGCATTTATAATGCATTAGTGTCCAGCACTTTCTGTAAGTGCATTGTGGCTCCTCAGGCTCTAGATAATGTCATGATGATCATGGACTGGTTTTGAGGGTAATTCAATTTGGAAATGGACTATGTATAAAAAATTATCATTATCGCAGAGTTCATTTTGAGATGTTGAACAACGCATGAAGCCAAATGAAGACAACCGTTTCATCAAAATATTTTGTGCATGTGATGACTAAGGGTTAAGTTTTAATATTCAGGAAAACCTTTAATGTATTAATTTAATTCAATATGTTGTTTCATTGTATTTTTTAGGCCAGCAGCAAATTAAAACAACCCATTGTGGTTCGTCGTGCCACACTGGCAACATGTCAACAAAGAAACAACGAAGCAGTATGTTAATTTTTAATCTATAAGTACACCATTGTTCTAGTCAGGAAATGTGTATATATTAACAAAATATCTTGGCAGGAATTTTTATTCTTGCAGCAAATTTTTGTCATCTTACAGTACATATATATCATACTGTAACCTAACTTTTCCACAGCTCACCTTCAAATTTGCTACAGGTAGCTTAGAAAAAAAAATTAAGATCATGTCTGGTTGTGACAGTAGGATGCAAAGGCCCATGGGAATGCTCTCCACTGGGGTGAGCGACTCGGGCGGTTTATATAATGCTGTAGTATTGGCAGGGCTGCACAGAGAAATTTGGGGGCCATGCGGCATGGGCGAATTTAATATTTCGGGATCTTGTGATTTAATCGTCAAAGATTCTTGAAGTTATGTGCCTTTTTAGAGATTGATTTCCATATTCTTGAACTTTTAGGACAGCTAGCAAAATAATTTCTTCGGTTTTGAATGTTTATATACAGTAACATTGCCAATTGACCATTCCCAATTGACCATTCCCCAATTAACCAAAATTTTGATCTCAACAAGTCTAGACAAAATTTCATCACGGCGTGAAAGAGCATGACTTCACAAAATTGGTAATATTCCAAAGTTTCGTTGCGAAATGTTGTAAAATGCGGATAATATAGCCTTGCGAAGTTTGTAATTTTCAGTCATTTTGTATTACGCACGGAAGTGGTAACCATTTCCCGCTTGTAATCTAAAATGACTGAAAAACGGCAAACTTCTTATCCACATTTTACAACATTTTAAAATGAAACTTTGGAATATTTCTAATTTTGTGATGCTCTTTCAAGCTGTGATGAAATATTTGTCTAGATTTGTTGAGTTCAAAATTTGGGTAATTGGGGAATGGGCCATTGATGTGTATTCTGCACTTAAATAATTCAGGGAGGTGGGGGTCTGGTTTGAAATCTAGAGTCCCTACAATAGCAATCCCTGCATTCTAGGACAATATAACACTGACTGTGGTTTTTATGCATATATTTTATTTTATCCTTTTTTGGGGGCCGCCTTTAGCTGAGGGCCCAGGACAAATTTTGCCTCCCTCCCCTAGCTAGCTCCCCCTCTGGGCGGCCCTGAGTATTAGAATCCAATATACTTATACTTTCCTTGTGGTTTTAAAATTCCGAATCAATTTGGGAAATTGCAATTGTTATGTGTTCACATGAAGTTTATTGTTCCACCATGTGTAGCACTGCATATTCTCTGAAACCAAGTTTCTAAATATTCAGAAACTTTTACATGTATACATTTGATTTACGCAGAAAATTTTATTTTCAGATTTTCTTCCAGGAAATTCTAAAAATTGTTTTTCTTCGTCTGGTGTAATGTAACCTCTGAGATCTCTGACTGATTGCCAGTTACTTTTTAGCTTGATAGTTTTTCTAAAACACCAATTTGAAAGTATTATGAGAATCTCTCAATTCTCTAGAGAGACTTGGGGTATACACAGTACAGTGTTGTACAAATTGCGCCCACCTGGCGCCGGTTGTTCGAAAGCCTGTTAACTTCATCCTGGGTTAATGAAAATTTCACAGCGAACTTCCCTGCAGCTTCGTTCCTAGGTTTTTAAATAAACAGAAGTGCAGATCTGTGCCTAAACCAAAACAGTACCCGTAGTTTAGCTTTTAACCCACGTTAATTAGCGCTAATCCAACTTGGAACAACCGACCCCTGATGATTTGATTTCCACTACCTTTAAGGGACTATTAACCAATCAGATGTGTTTCATATATTCGATTAACCAATCAGATGCACACAGCAAACTATGCCAGTAAGAGATAGCGGTAGTGTAGGTCAACTATATATCTGAATTCTGAACCTCTCTATTAAGTACAGTTATGTGCACTAGACTCTTGCGGGAAAACCGCTAGAAATGTATTTCGTTTTAAATAAGACGCCCAGGTGGTTCTATTATCCCATTATCTTTTCAGCCAAGCACAGTGAACACACGTGCAAGCAGTATCAGTAAACGCAACAAGGCACCATCTCATGTCAAGCGACCTCCTGCTGCAACACAATCAACTCAACAGAGATCATTGAAAAGACAAAACTCCAACACTGAAAACATGGCGGTAAGATTATACAGGGTTCGTAGCGGTCTTTGAAATCCTTGAAAGTCTTTAAATTGGAATGCAGGTCTTTGAGGTCTTTGAAAAGTCTTTAAATTGTGTGAAAAAGCGAAGAAAGTCTTTAAATTAAAGTCTTTGAATTCTTTAGTGAGTATTTGATTATACGATTTCCTAGCTAATAAAATAGATTGATTCAAGCAAGATTTTCGCAAATATCGACGAAAAGGCGCATTTTAGGATGTGATTTGACGGGACTAATTACTGGGTAAAAATGGTGCCTTACACTCGCAATTTTTCGACAGCTGATTGCCCTCAAAGGTCTTTAAAAAGCCTTTGAAAATAGGCAGAAACAATCTTTGAAAGTCTTTGAATTTTTTTGGTCTTGGAGACTACGAACCCTGATTATATTATTCAACTTTATTTAAACACCGTATCTGAATCTCATTATAATGAATGGTCTTCCTTAGAACGGTGTTGAAATATTAAAAATGACAAGACAGATCTTTATTTAACAATATTTGTATATTTCTACATGCATGGTTGTATTTACTGTATGATTGCATTTTCTACTTCTTAGCCTGCTGCAAAAGTTAGAAAAGGTGAAACAGCGATAGTTGGAAAGAAGAAAGGTAAATGCACTGCAGTAATTAAAAGAACATTTTCAGAAATCTACAGTATAATGCACTGTAATTTTTTCTGACTCTGAACAGCATGCAAGCCGCACGCGTCTCTCGTAGGCTACTGTCCATGTGTTACATACTGATATACTGTGGTACACATTTCGTCTTGATTGACAGCGGCAATAATCGTGCAGGCAATCGTCAGTTACCGTTCATTGGTGGACGGGGGTATAAACGACATAGCAAAACCAGGGATAGGTTTACTGTGGGTATGCATGCGGGGGGGGGGGGATTGTACTATACACCTTGCTAGCCTTGGAAAAGTCCGTCTATCGGATTCTCCGCTGCAGGCAGACCATCTGTCATGCAGGCTAGCTTGATAGTTGAGATAGATAGCTTGTACTGTACATATTGACTATTGTGTCACCGTAACCGTTTCAACATTGTGCTAACAACTAAAACCAAGCCTGATAGTTAGCCTGCGTACAGTATATATCTGTCATTCTGTCGGTTGTAAGGGGTTAGGTTGAGGCGCAGGCGTGGTTTTGTGTTATTATTATACAGTAGGACAAAAACTTGCCGTCAAACTGCTATCGAACACGACAATATTGACGGCATTTTTTTGTCTGACTACATTTATTAAATTTATACATTTTGTGTCGTAACTAAAGTACAGTATATTTCTGGTTTCCCTCAGGTGCCCCGAAAAGGGCAGCATGGGATTACAAAGGTCGTATGGAAGACATGGAACAATATTTATCGAAGATGAAGGGTGTACAACAAGAGAGTATACAGAGGATAGAAACATTGGAATCACAAAAAAATAAATTGCAAGGAAATGTCGTGATAAAAGAAAAAGAGAAGGAGGAGGTCAGTAATAATACTGTATTTTTTTCACTGAAGGGAAAATGGCTATAAAATTATATATTTTTTTCTTATTTGAAAGACTTCCAAATGATAACAAATAGTTTATAATTATATGAAAACAAATACTGTACTTTATACTATACGGTAATTATACATTTCCAGACAGGGTTCGAAATAACGTTCAAAAAATGTGCCTAATTTTGTAGGGGGTTTTTTGTAGGTTTAAATTCTTGCCGGCCGTTTTCAAGTTCATGCCAAGTTCATGAGTAAATTTAGTATACACGTGTATGCCTGGAAACAGGCCCTGCATTCGTAACGTTTTTATTTGCGTCATTGTATAATTACGACGTAAAATGTACAAAATCAAATGCATGCACTTTGAAAAATCAATTTGATTTAACTTTAAATTTGAGTTTAAATAAAAAATCGCCGGCAAAGTCCTTTGGATTTAAAAATCGCCAGCAAGGTCATGAAACTGCTGGTTATCGCCGGTTGCTAAATTTCGAACTCTGCCAGAGCTAACCAGGGGCGAAAAACGCAATCGAACCTGCGGTCCTGGACTCGGTTGGTAATTGGAACACTGCACTGGAATCGCAGTGGCGAAGGTAAATTCGATTCCTGCAATGCCAAGACCGTTTTTCACTAGGCGAATTTGTTTGCGCGAAGCGAATTCTTTCTTTGTCCGCGTCTCTTTTGTTGTCGTGATACCACATGCGGACAAAGGAAAAACTCGCTTCGTGCGAACAAATTTGGTTAGTGGAAAACGTGCTCTTCGGAGGGCCTAAAGGGAGTAAAGGCTGATTTCCACTGTTTCGTTTTTCATACGTACGTACACGCACGTAAAACTTTCAATCCGTTTAAATGTTACTTATGAATTAACCAAATAAATAAAGCAACAGAATTTAGTGTTCCGCAAGTTTTAGTATGCATTTGTTAACTTATTTGTAAAATATTTAAAAAATAGAAGGATTCAAAGTTTTACGTGCGTGTACGTGCGTACGAAAAACAACAGTGGAAATCAGGTCCACAGCAGTGGAAATCAGGTCCACAACAGTGGAAATAAGGTCCATTTTTCGCAACTGCTCCTTGTTAGGTCTAAATGTATATATATATATATATATATATATATATATATATATATATATATATATATATATATATATATATATATATATATATATATATATATATATAAATTTGCGCTAGAAATTGCCATCTACTAAAACCTACTACTTGAAATTACAGTACTTTATTCTACATACTTATATGGAAACCCTTTCCTGTATTGTGTTTCGTTTGTGGCCGCCATCTTGGTTCTTAGTTCAATATGCACGACGTCACAAAGAGAAATTTTCCTAACCGCATTTCATCATGAGCCTGAAACTCGATCTTTACAGTATGTTTGATGCACCTGCTGTTAATGTACTGTATGTAACTTGTTAAACTATTTACGGTTATTTATCTATCTAGGCGTCGGCTCTGAGTAAGGAACTCCAGTCTCGCCTGGAAGAAAAATCCATAGCAGAGCGAGAACTTCGCGAGGAGGTGGAGAGAGAGCGTGAAGAAAAAGACAGAATAGATCGCGAGAGAGAAGAATATAAATTTGAGTTGGAACTCGCCAGGAACGAGGTTAAAACTTTGAAGCAAAGAATATCAACTATGACCACAGAAATATTGAGTGTGAACACCGAGCTAGATGCTACCAAGGTATACTGTACAATAGATATCTTACGATAGAAATTCCTAAATTTTAGTGCTAAATGTCTATGTCCACTTCCCTATGAGTTCGTGAATGTGATTGCCTTGAATTGCCATCCAGAAATAGCAGATATATGGGAGTAACTGTCATTTCATATGAGGTTCATTGCGTAATAATGCACCCTACCGTAAAATATGCCACTTTGGCTATAGAGCCTTGTTTTCGTGTATGTATCTGACATTAATTAAAGCTCGACGTCTCAATCACGAAATCGAAGCTCTATTGCCAAAGTGATGTATGTATTTTCTGGAAGGGTGTATTATATTCTGCACCAATGTCAGTGCAAATAAGATTACATTTCCAAAGGAGCTTTCTAATCAAAGCAAGTGCATGATATTGTTTTCCAATATTCTAGAATTTGTTTTTGTTTGAGAACACGCTTGCATGATATCCGTTACTTCTGATCGCTTCTTTTAAAGGTTAAGTGGTTGGTGCCATATCTTTTCTATGCATGCATGCAGCGCAGCAACACTACAGTATTTAAAACTCCCGGCGTGTATACCTGTATCGTTTGGTGTATCGTGCATTTAAGGCTGGGTTACACGATCAAAGTTTCTATGTTCACAGTTGGAATTTTGCATGGGTATAAATTCCATGTTTTGATGAATGATTTGTAAGAACTTTTTTGAGGTAAATGCCACCTTGCATGTTTAACACTGAGTCAGTTGCCTTAAACATTTCACAAATCCTTCAAAACTTTACCTCTACAAAATTCCAACTGTGATCACAGAAACTTTGATCGTGTAAACCAGCATTTATATTTACATGTTAAAGTAATTGCCATATCTCTCTCGTTTTCTTTTAGGTTGCTTATAAAAAAGCTAACAATGAAATTGAACGACAATCAAGCTTGATTTCGGAACTTCAAAGTACCATTGAATGTAATCGGAAAACCATCGAAGATATCGAAGCGAAACTCAGAGATGAGGAGACCATTCGACGGAAACTACACAACGCAGTCCAGGAGCTTAAAGGCAACATCCGTGTGTATTGTCGAGTGAGGCCCAGTCTTCCGTCCGAAGAGGATGCACCTTTGACGAAAATAGACTTCGAGAACGATACTGACGTTGTGCTGCACAATGGAAATGAGGTAAATACTAAATACGTACAGTGGAACGGTCACCTCTTTATTACCACCACTTTTTTTTGTCCCCGACAAATGACAATGAAGACAATGCATTTTCTTACTAAGATACCCAGTTAATGCGGCCGCCCCGTTAATAATACAGTCCACAGATCCTTCTTCTCGTCAAAATACGTCTCAAAATATTCAGGAATGCGACTTCATTCCTAACGTCGTGAATTCGACAGTTTGGAATTGGCGATATCTGATTGGTCTGTGGGAAATTGTGCTGAAATCAGGTATTAATGTTTTGACATTTTAGCAGTAATAGATGTAGGAATGTAGTCGCATTCCTTAATATTTTGACACAAAAACAAGGCACTTTTTTCGGGCGACAGGAAGTACATGTATTTTCGATTTTGGTAAATAATGCTTTAAGATTGACGTTTACGGCTAACCGCAAACGGCCAACTTCAAATCGCATTTGAAAGTACAGTAAGACCTACAGTTTCGACAGCTAAAAGTGAAAAGTAGCTAATAATAACTGAAATTCATGCTCCAATTTTAGTGTACAAGTTGCCCTAACTTCGAACAGCTATAACAACAGTTCACTTCAAATTACGATCCGAAGTTTGCCGTTTGCGATCTGACGTAAACGTCAATCTCAGTTAAAGTCCCTATGTAATGACAATAATTTCAGACGCCGGTTTGAGAACTTTGTTACTGTTCACCATTAGTAGGTTCACTTTATGGAATATCTTTATAAGAAAATGTATTGTCTTGGCGTATCTTTATAAGAAAATGTATTGTCTTACAAACATAAGTGGCCATAAGTAATAAGGGGGTGACCGTATTAACGTGGTGGCCAAACGGTGTTCCTTTGTATTTTAAAACTGTTTATAACCATGGTTTTTACAGGAAATTGTTTATCCTTCTTATATAGTAACTACTGTATATACAGTAGATATTTATTAATATTCTTGCAATAAGTTTTATTATTTCATGTAATTCAGTTTTCACTATTTAGAATGTTAATAAACTAATAAAAATAATAAATAATTATATATGCCATATGGGTTAAGGTGGCTCCCTAGGGTTTTTTAATTTACTACACTATAGTATTCAGGAGACTCCTGTTTCTTTACTTTACATGACATGAAGACGAAATTTATTGGACACATTGACAATGTTCTCCTGAACATTGCAAATTGCTACTTTTGTGTTAAAAATATGTTATCATGGCAACAGCATGCTTAGAATAAAGCTCAAAATTTGTCTTTTTCAGGTCATTTTAAAAATTCCCTTCGCTGAATTTTTTTAAAACTTTGCATAGAAGATAATACTTGTATAATGATTTTTTCCCTCAATTTAAAAAAATTAAATCGATACGTTTCTTAGAAAAATTAAAAGACGTCAAAAATCAATATTAAAAATTTTCCCTTCGATTTAATTTTAAGAAAAAAGGATATTGCACTTGTTGTGCCGATATTAAAAAATGTGCAAAGTTTTAAAAAATTTTACGGAAGGAAAACAGAGAAATTTGGGTTTAATTTTGGCAATTTTTACTACATTTTTACGCGAAAAATTTAATACCCCAACTGACGTGTACATGCATTCTGCATAAAACAACAAGGCATGACTTTTTTGAAATCACAAAATATAAATTATGTTTGATTTAACAAATATAAAACATTTTCCGTGTTGATATACAGTTATATCAACACGAGTGGAAATTGGGAAAACGAGAAATTGTGTGGAAACACGACGCCCGAAGGGCGGAGTGTTTTCACACAATTTCGAGTTTTCCCAACTTCCACGAGTGCTGATATAACTATATATCAATACGGAAAAAATGTTTTATATTTGTTTTATAATATAGCAATGTCAAAAGCCCGAAGAATAAGAAAAATTTCCGTGTTTACAAGCGGCGGAAAATTTCCCGTGTTGACATGGAGTTATATCAACACGGCTCTTAGCCAATCAGCGTTCAGAATTTACAAATGCTATATTATAATTAACAAATATAAAACATTTTCCGTGTTGATATACAGTTATATCAACACGAGTGGAAATTGGGAAAACGAGAAATTGTGTGGAAACACGACGCCCGAAGGGCGGAGTGTTTTCATACAATTTCGAGTTTTCCCAACTTCCACGAGTGTTGATATAACTATATATCAATACGGAAAAAATGTTTTATATTTGTTTTATAATATAGCAATGTCAAAAGCCCGAAGGATAAGAAAAATTTCCGTGTTTACAAGCGGCGGAAAATTTCCCGTGTTGACATGGAGTTATATCAACACGGCTCTTAGCCAATCAGCGTTCAGAATTTACAAATACTATATTATAATTAACAAATATAAAACATTTTCCGTGTTGATATACAGTTATATCAACACGAGTGGAATTGGGAAAACGAGAAATTGTGTGGAAACACGACGCCCGAAGGGCGGAGTGTTTTCATACAATTTCGAGTTTTCCCAACTTCCACGAGTGTTGATATAACTATATATCAATACGGAAAAAAATGTTTTATATTTTTTTTATAATATAGCAATGTCAAAAGCCCGAAGGATAAGAAAAATTTCCGTGTTTACAAGCGGCGGAAAATTTCCCGTGTTGACATTGAGTTATATCAACACGGCTCTTAGCCAATCAGCGTTCAGAATTTACAAATGCTATATTATAAATACTGTTTATAACTTTGTCGGTTAATGGTCAACTAAGCGTGGATTATACATGTAAAATTGGCAAAGATACTTAGGTAATTACTGGTTATGACTTCTTGGTATTAATTTGAAAAATGTTTGTCAAAATTCGTCCCGTGCGAGTTAGTACTATCGTCAGATGTTTTCGCAAAATGCCCGTTCAAATTTCAGTTTCTATAGTGGTATGTTTGGAGTTTTGGCCCTGCTCATTTCACCCGTAGAGGGCTCATTATTTAAGTCATCTTTATTGTCATAAGTGCTGCTAGATTGTGGAGAAAACACTGCAAATTCTTGAGGAAACTTTATTTATTATATAAACATAAGTGTTATATAGAGTTTTGGGCCACTGAGAAAAATCGTATTTAAACACACGTAAAAAATACGATATTTTTACGTGTGAAAATATCATTTGTTGTAAAACGCATTGCCACGGACGTTTTATTGTTTTTCACTGAATATTGTTTATATAATAAACAGAAAAAT